AGTTAGAGGCGTTAGGTTTGCCTGCAACTCTCAATAGGGGCATCACCTCTCAGAACAGTTATCGTGGCCAGATCCTTGACAGCTGTACTTCTTGCTTACTTCCCACTACTCTTTCTTTACAATTAAGATATGGAGGGCCGCCTGGGTGGCTCAGTCAGTTGAGCGTCTGCCTTCGGCTCAGGTCATGATCCCAGGGTCTTGGGATCGAGTCCCACATCGGGCTCCTTGCTCAGCGGGGAGCCTACTTCTCCCTCTGCCTGCCGCTCCCCCCAGCTTGTGTGCACTCTCTCTCTCTCCTCTCTCTGACAAATAAATAAATTTTTAAAAATCTTAAAAAATTAAATTAAGATATGGAAAAATACATTACTAAAAGGAAGAAACCCCATCTCTAACAGCATTACAGGGTTTTTCAGTGCAGAGTCTTATTTTGTATGCATCATTTAATTTTCTCCAAAACCTTGGAAAATGTGAGTTACTATGATCTTACTACTGTTGTTGATAAATAGCGGCTACTATTTATTTAGCACTAACTGCATCAGGAGCTGTGCTAAACACCTTGCAGTTGGTCCAAACAATACCCTTAGGAAGCTAGAATTAATATTGTGCCCATTTTACAGATACTGAAATCGTGCCTTAAGTGACATGCCCAGTTTACACAGCTAGCACATAAGTAGAATTGCAATTCAAGCATTACTTGATCTGCTTTCACCATAGAGCCTGAGCTCTGGATCTCTGTGGGCCTGTTGCCATGCTCTTTTTCAGGTGGAAGGCCTCGTGATGCTAAAAGTTTAAATAAGTTGCCTTAGGTTATGCAGTTAGTTCCTAATGCCTTCCAATCGCAACCCCAAACATTTTCCATTGTGCCCTGCTGTCCCCAGAGCCCCGCCTCCCAACCCAAAGGAGAACCAATATTTTTGAGAAAGCCCACTCTGACCTATGCCAGGTTCACAAGGATGGGTGAGTGGAGGAAGGGTACAGACTTCAGCCCCTACTCATCTTCCTTTCTCAAGCACCTTTGTGCAGGACAACATACCCAGAGTTCTACCAGGCAGTCCTCACTGAAACTAACAGGTTGGCATTCTGAAATAATGGTAAGAGAAATATTCAAAAGAATTTTATTATAACTATGTGCTCTTAGGAGCTCTAAGTAAAATTTGTACTCTGCTAATTACATTTCTAATAACGCTCACATTTTCCCTTCACTGCCAACAAAAATGTTTAACAAGATATAATCTGACAGCACTCGTGCTAAAACTCCCCTGAAGCCAAAATGTGTCACTAGTCAAAATGACCCTCGTCTTCGCAGGCCCTTGAAGAAGAGTTGAGGATCATTTATGAAGTGGGTTTTAACCTTAGGGTGATACATTGTGCTGCTGTTACTGAGCTCAGGGATGATTTTTTTTTTTTATTCATTTGAACTTACTACCATATCCTTTTTCAAAATCGATTACTTTTAATTATATAGCTACCCTGGGCATAAAGCTAATGTCCTATAACTTGGACATGCTTTCCACTGAAGTACTGACAGAGTAATAGATTTAATGTGCACCTGACTATAATAAGCAAAAAAAAAAAAAGACAAAAGACAAAAAAAGCATGAGTATATAATGAGGACACTGATCACCACAAAAGAGTGAGTGTGTGTGTGTGTGTGTGTGTGTGTGTGTGTATACGTGCGTGTGTGTGTTTAATATGTCTGTGGATGGGGATGTTGTGGTTTGAGAGGCTCAGGGGTGTTTACTGGGGAAGAAGTCTCATCAAACTTGACAATTTTCATGACAACACACAGATGATGGATTTGAAAAAGCTTGGTCTAGAGAGTGGTTCTCAAACTTGATTAGATAGCAGAATCACCTGGGGAACTACTCAAGCATGCGAAGGCCCAAGTCTTATCCTTACTTTAATGAACTTGGGCTTCTGTATTCTGTACTATTTCTTCACTTAACTCTGATGCACACCTATTATGAGAACAGCAGGTCTGTGGTCACAGATTTCCAAACTTGGCTGCACACTGGAATCACTGGAATCTCACATGTAGAGATTCTTCTTTTGAGATGAAGTGCAGCTTGGGCATGGGGAGAGTCAAAAATCCCCAGGTAGTTCTCGTATCAGCAAAGTTTGAGAACCCCCCCATCTAAGGTGTTGCTACCCAATGTGTGCAGGGTTCAAAAGCCAGCAGCAGCAACAACATCTGAAAGCCTGTTAGAAATGCAGAGTCTCAGGTTTCACCTACAAATACTGACTCAGTAGCCGCCATTTACCAAGGTGCCCAGATGATTGTTTATGCACATGACCTTTTGAGACATACCAGGCTAGGGAGTCAGGTGGAGCTGGGTTTTTAGCCATTTGTTACTAGCAAGGTGACTGAGAAACCTCTCTGAGCCCCAGTCTCCTTGCCTGTAAAATGGGCATAATGATAACCCTGTCAACATTGCATGCAGGCTTGCTGGAGAGATTTTTTTTTAATATATATTTTAAAGATTTTATTTATTTATCTATCAGAGAAAGAGAGCACAATCAGGGAGAGCGGGAGGCAGAGGGAGAAGCAGGCTGCCCACTGAGCAGGGAGCCTGATGTGAGACTCAATCCCAGGACCCTGGGATCATGACCCAAGCCAAAGGCAGACGCCTAACCAACTGAGCCACCCAGGCGCCCCAGGGAGAGATTCTTGAAATGCACTAGTGGACTCGGCTTAATTTCTAGAACGGGGAAATGGACTCAGGAAACAGAAAGTCTGAGGTGCTGTGAACTTTCTTAGCAGTGGGGGACAGAAGGCAAATGAAGCAAAACGCTGTCCGCGCTGCCATCACAGACATATTCCTCTTCTTGAATTCGTGTGAAGGTTCTTTGTAGGTGTGCACACGAGATGATTTTCATTAATTCAAAAGAATAAATGTTTCCCAGATGCAAGAGTTGTCTTCTAAAAAAAATAAATAAATTATAGGAAAGCAGTCCTTAACCACAGTGTCCTTGAAGCTCCCTTGAGCACCCTGCATTTTGGCGCATTTTGTGACCAACAAAACCATACGGGGCCACCTACTCATACTGTGTTATCTTTACTTTTCCCTTTTCGATGGTCATCTGTTATTTCCCTCCTCCTTGGCCAAGAGCTAGTTTCTTTATAGGAACTCCTCTATAGGCTTCCTTTTATTTTTCTCTTCAAGCCACTCGCTTCTGTAATTATCTACTGTTTTCTTAATTTCTCTAGCTTTTATCCCACAAAATATGTTCTCATTGTTCCCGTTCTGCTCCCTTAGCTAAGACACAGAACCGGCTTGTTGGGTAAAGTTTATATCTGATTGAAAGGGAATGACAGTACTGTCTTTGTAGCATAATCGTTTTCGTATTAAGATGGAAGTAGAAATGTCTAATGGGGTACCGCAGAAGAAATACCCTCAACTAATCTTTCTAAGCAGGACGACAGTGAGTAATGATTACAGTTAATTAAGTTAGGCAACCTCCACTTCCATTCACTTAGCAGCACTGCTAATTATATACTCATTCTATAAGGTTTCTTTAGTTCTTCTGTAATTTGGATGTGGTACTCTTTGTAGGCAAGGGGATACGGTACGATTAATGAGCTTTTCCCCACCAACATCTCCTATTCTCTCCAGATGAAATTTCCACATCTGGAAATTGAGAGTAGAAAAAAAGGAGCAAGGAGAAAACACTCACTCACATTGTAACTTACTTCCATCGTAGCACATGGTTGTAATTGTGGAATATTTTCTACGGAAGAAAACAGTAGAATTTAATTTCTTTTGAGGCCCTGGGAAATGGTGGCTTTAAGGACAGAACCCGGCTATTAAAAATAAAAGTGGCAATGACAATGACCCTTTATGCCATAGGCTTTTGTTCACTTTAAATAAACACTTATTGAGGGCTTACTGTTTGCCGGGCCTTGAGTCCGGCCCCGAATCTACAGGGTGGAATAGAAGCAGCCCTGACTATTTTTCCGGGTCTCTTTACGTGGACTTCAAACATTTTAACAACTTCTTCTTTAAAGAAAACTGAGAGAAATGCAGCTTTTCTTGGGTATATTGTTAATGAAGCACTTGAAAAAAATTAGTTTATGTGCTTTGATCAGATGGGGATTGACATACTTAAGAGTTTTATTTTTAATCTGAAAATCCACTTCAATCTTATGCTCTGGGTAAACAGTCATTACGCAAGGCTGGCACAGTTCTGTACTTGCAAGGAGCAGAATTCAAGGTGGAACTTCAAATATAATCTCAAGTAAGTTATTCATATTATTGCTTTTATTTAAAAACTCAGGGTTTACATGGTTGGATTTTTGCTTCAATCTTCAGTAATCTCCGTTTGCTTTAGGAATTAACTTCATCGTGCCTTGGGTTTGGTGTCAGTCTGTTTCAGATCTGAGAATTGATTTTTTTTTTTAAAGATTTTATTTATTTATTTGAGAGAGAGAGAATGAGAGACAGAGAGCACGAGAGGGAAGAGGGTCAGAGGGAGAAGCAGACTCCCCGCCGAGCAGGGAGCCCGATCCGGGACTCGATCCCGGCACTCCGGGATCATGACCTGAGCCGAAGGCAGTCGCTTAACCAACTGAGCCACCCAGGCACCCCTGAGAATTGATTTTTAAAAGTAGGTCTAGAGGAAGGTATTTGGACGTCAAGCGCTTCCCTTGTGATATTTTCCTAGGAAGTTCAAATGTGTTTCGAGCGCCACTGGACATTGCCGGCCTTGCTCACTCCCCTCCTAGGGTCTCACAGGTGCACAACTTTATAGGTCCAGGCTCTTCTTTCTGCGCCCTCCTTTCTGCGCTCTTTCATAACATGTTTGCATAAATGAGCACGCTGTCGAGTTCACATGAAGGCTAGACAGAAATACAGGTGTCCTCATAATAATCAGCTCCTTGCATTCCGTTCTCTGGTTTCTGCTTCAGTCTGGGAGAAAGCCTATATAAAGCAGCCGGCACACTTATTACCACAGAAAGTGAGGTTACTGATTAGAAGGGAACATAATCAGGTAGATTGAGCCTGTGAGGGAAGAAACCATTGCTGTGACAGGGGAGTGTTGGCAAAACACTCCCTGTGAATCTGTAAAGATCACCTCCCTTTGCAGGGCAACCGGAGTGGAAGAAACAGATGCAAAAAGACTGTGTGTTTGTCTGCGTTTGTGAAGCTGGGCAGAGATTATGTACCTGCTTTATCTGTGCTTGGCTATGACTCTACCTCCAGGTTTCTCAGACCCCATAGAATGTGTAAGAGAAAAGTACCAACAGGGAAATCAGCCAAAAGCTTTCCTATGAAGGTGTAGCCTGCCACCGCAGAATTTGAAATGTCTGAGGTCTCATCTGGTGAGTAAAACGTGCAGATAAATGCCACAGCCATTCAGAAGAAGGATAAATGCCACAAGCCGTCCGAAGCAGGCTTCCCCAGAGGTGATTCCTGTGGTCAGTTTGCAGCCTCTAGGGTAAATTTGGATCCCTCCTCTTCCATATGGCTTTCTCTAAAAGTTAAATGGGGACTTTTGTTGGGAGAAAGGGAGGGGAAGGGGTTTGACATTAGCGATCTATATGATAATGCAAAGCACTGAAATCACAAGGAGCCCAGATTCTACTTTTTGGGCTATGGCTTTTATGAACCTGGTCTTTAGGAATCTAAAGTTATTTCTGATGTGAAGTGACAAGAAAAAAAAATTTAATGACCCAGACCTTAATAAACAATAATATTTCTCCTTCAAATTCAGTTTCTCGGGACCTAGACTAAATCCATGAGCGCAATAGAAAACTAATGTGACGAATTTACATGTCTTAGCAATAGAAACACCTCTGTGATATATATATATATAGTTTCAAGAAATATTTTTGTCAAAGAAAAGGAAAATAATAGGGATTGTTGTGAAGAGTGACTTAGACATGATCAGATATTCACAGCTTATTAGGACATAAACTGGGCTGCCAGTGGTAAACAATGATTCCAGGCTGCCTAATTGCCTGAAATATTTAAGAACGATTTTAAAGGTTCAACAATTACTGCTAAATGCTAGCAGTAAAGTAAAGTAAAAAGGAGTTATGATTAGTCATGTTACCTGTGGGTTGTTTTTTTTTTAATTTTAAGAGATCCTAAAATTCTAAATCAGGAAAGATTTGTTATCAGCATGTACAAACTGTATATTAAAAGTACATTAATTCCTAAATTAGGACAATTTTGTTAAAATTCCTATGTCTTCTGACAAATTTTTCTGTCATCAGGAAGGAAGATGTCTAGTTTAGGGGGTGGGGCAGAGCTAAAAGAGTAGGATGACAAAAGCCTTTTTAAAATTATGAATATATATTAGTTAAAGAATCCAAAGATAAAAAGTATATTTTGATCCCACGCTGTCCCGTAACTTGATTTGTAAGAGAAGCTACCCACTGTTGCAAGACTTCTCTCTCATTTGCTCTGAACTACGTGGTTGCCATTTCTCACGTAAAGGTTGCCTTTTAGTAATCTCTTTCTAAAGATTTTTTTTTATTATTTTTCTGTTTGTGTTTTATTCATCGGACAGATTGTCCTGGAAGTACAGAGGCCAGTTAATGGTTTATGAATTCAAGCTGAGCCAAATATAGCTAAGCTCTGTCTTGCTTGACATTTCATCAAAAGCTGTGTTGATTTGCAATGTTTACCGACCTATTTATTGAACCCTCACAGCTTGAACTATGCCACCAAGCTTGCTGACATTGCTGAGATTATCTTTAAATGCATGTACAAACTAAGGAGGAAATAGAGAAACAGAAAAATAAGTTAAAAACAATCCTTGACCTATTTAATAAATTATGCTTACATAGTCCTTGATTTATTTATTTGTTTCCTTCAAAACCCCGTGACATAATTTTTCTCCTTTGATCTTCAGAAAAACTCTGGAAGAAGGTAGTGGCTCTCCCTGCCTCGGGAGGGCCTCAGAATCCTCTGGAGAGCTGTTAAAATACAGCTTGTTGGGCCCCACCTCGAGTTTCTGATCTGCTCCTCCCGAGGGGTGGCCCAAGAATTTGCATTTCTAAAAGGGTTCTCTCCAGGAGATGCTGCTGCTGCTGGTGTGGGGGGCCACACTTTGAGAAGCACTGCCAACATGAGAAGAGTCTCATTTATCAGTCAGACTCGCCGGGATTCAAGTAGAGCAAGACTTTGGCTCCTGAGGATTTATCTAGTTGGAGGACATTCTAGGTACAGGGAATAGACTCATGGGAAATTGGAAGAATGATGAGTCACCAAGGATGGCTAGGTTATCTCACTTGGGTGGGAGATAAAAGGGTAAAGAAAAGGTTCGACTCTCTGAAAGTTTATATTTTTGATAAAAGGACAAAAGACTTAGGAACTTAGACAATGCATTGCATACAGTAGGAGCTCAAGAAACAGTCAACGGGTTGAGATTTATGTGTCAGGTAAATGGCGGGGATTCAATAAATGTCTTGTTGAATGAATGGGGGGGGAACAGAGCTTGGCTGATATTCATTATTAGAAATAGAACACTTTTATTTTCTTTCCCTTCGTCTGGTTACCTGGGTACTCTTTACACACTGCTTAGAGAAGTTGCCCACTGCACAAGAAAATAAACACACTGCCCACACAAAATTGAGGCATTTTTTCCATTAATGATTAGCACATTAAACTATCAAATACCTATTTGGGAAATTATTGTTCCACAGAAATTAGCAATAACATTGCTACAGTAAACAGTTGGTCAGCAGTTCTCAAATATGTAATGTAAAGAATCCATTTTTAATTACTCTTTTGATTCTTATTCCCCAAGCTACCTCCCTCAGTAAAGATTCGGTCTGTGATACTTTTAACAAAATGAAAACATGATCCATGTCTTTTAAGCACTTGAGTCTACACTGTACATCAAGTCTCCCCTTTTGGGTCCATAAAAATCGAAGGTTTCTCCAACTCACTTTTCTGAAACCACAGTTTGCAAACTGAAACCCTGACAAGTCTGGGTTTTTACTTAATTATAATGCTTAAGCAAAAATTAAAACACATCTTTTAAGATGCTGATAACTGAATTGAAGCGTTCAAAAAATTGTCATCTTTACTGTTTTTTTTTTTAAGTTTCATGCTCATTAGTTATGGTCCATTTCATTCAGTAAAATTTAAGCTTTGATACGTTCTAATGGGGTACAACATTTAGATTCAATGTATAATATGGATAATTGACTTTTACTGAAATTTAGATGTTGGTAACTTAGAGTTGGGAGTACGAGACCTTTAAGGAAGTAGAGATGTTTATTACACTCATTCTCGCAATTTTGTTGATGAAGTGCATCTAGAAAGTAGATAACTGTCATTTATTTCAGTTTTATAGGGTGTTCTTTTTGTCTAGTCTTACCTAGCACATGCTACCTATATAGGCTTCAGAAATCATCAGAGCTATGATGGCATTTTCATGCAATTTTAATTCCGATACTACTCCAAGTTGATGAAAGAGGGTGATGCTTAAAAGGCAATGTGCCATATTTCTAATGTTCAAATAATATAGCAAGAGATTAATTGTGGCCTGGCTCACTTATCAGTTTATTACTTTTCACTTCCCCATTCATGATTAAAGCAGCTGATGATGACAAAAATAGATAATATTTATGGTGATAAATTGTGGTTTTATTATGAAAATAAAGCCATCTTTAATGGCATTTTGGAGTATAAATTTTCAAAACAAAAACAAAAACAAAAAACACTAACACTCTACCAGGGCTCTCATATCCTTTGGCTTTCATCATTGAATCCTTAGCACTTAATCCTGCCTGGAATGTAACAAGCGTTCAATAAACTGGCTCTACAAAGGAATCCTACAGGCAAACTTGTCCAGGGAAAGAAAGAAGGGGGTATTTTCATTTCAATTTTTAATGCTGTTTATTTTGGCAGATGAATAATATCTGTGACATTTTATTCTGATAGCTATTATATCATTAACCGAATGTGAGAACAAAAGGCGTTTGGGGTTTTTTGTTTGTTTTTTTATTAATACTAGATTTCTTTGACAAACTCATTTGAGTCTTTTGGGATATGATCATCTGTTCACCTTTTCAGTTTCCAGATTCCTCATTGTCAAGCCAAAATCATATCTCTTCAGACACACAGACACACACACACACACGCGCGTGCGTGCGCACACACACACACACACACACCCCACAGTGCATTTTATTATAGCCAGCACTTGAAATGGAAATGGAAATGGGGGGAAGGGAAAACCTGAAATAGATGTTTTTTTTTTTTTTCCCAGCCAGGCAAAACTGAAGCCCCTCTGTTTTAGGAAAGATGTTAGTAATATAGTTAAGAGAAGGTAAGAAAGAGGAATGGAAGGGTGGAGGGAGGTCCCCACCTGTGTGTACTTTCTTAGGCAGCTTCGAAGGTGCCCAAAGCAGAAAAATGGTTCTGCTTCACTTTACTCCATGTTTAAGACTCAAGCCAAGATTGAGCATGGCCTAGAGAAAAGTTCCTTGAAACTCAAGTTTCTTAAAAATACAGTATGTCAAAGGGGTTTTTCTTTTCTTTTCTTTTTTTTGTTTGAAACAGATTCTCAAAAAAGAGATTTTTTGGAAAGTTAAGAGAATAATGAGTAAGGAGTGCTGACATTCTCACAAACTTATCAGGAAATCTAGATGAATCTCTCTCCAATAAAAATGAACATCAGTGGTGTCTGACAAAGCCCTTTGGAAGAAGAGCAAGGAGGAAAAATCTTGCCATATAATTAAAGATAATGAAATGATCCATCATGGCTAGTTGCAGTAGATTATTTGACTTAAAGGTTTTTGATACAAATAAGTTCACTATGAATTAAGTTAAAAATATATATTATGGATGCCCCTTGCTGTAGAGAGTATCATTTATGCAACAGATTATGTTATTTAACCACCTTTGGAATCATAATTGTTAATCATAAACTAAACCAAATTAAAAATAAAGTATACCACACATGAAGCCATTCCAATGAATAAAACAGTTCCTGTGTGAACTAGACTGCTGTTCAAATAAACTATAGTTATGCTTCAGACACTGTTTACCAAAATACTGACAGACTCCTGCAAGCACAGTTTTTAAACACTTACCTTGGAGGTTTCCAGGACCCTGAAAATATTTCTATGGGTTTAAAAAACAACCACAAAGCAACAATACAAACAATACCTCTACTCAAGGCCGTATATAGCACAAATAAAAATATTCTGTAGGGAGGATTTGGAACATAAATAGCTTTTGTGCTTCAGATATTTCCAATTAGCCCATTCTTAAAAGTCTGCAATTTTTTTCAACTGAGTCTTGAATAGAGGTTATAAAGCTCAACAGATACTGGCTTAGATTTGAACATTTGTGAATGAGT